AAGAAAGGAAGAAGAAGAAAAGAAATAAGCCATCCTTATCCAAATTTTCCTCTTTTAAGCCCCTTGAATTTAACACAAATTGCCATTAGGTTCACTAATAATCTTTCCTCACAAGTTAGTCCCTAACCCACACTTATTTATTGTAGAAATTTTTGGGGTATTACATCCGCCCCTCCTAAAAAGAAGTTTTGTCCCCAAAACTCAATTGAGGAACATTTCGAGTGGTGAATGGCTTCACACAATCCAAGACAAAACAAATGCCCCACCGACTTTCTATGAACAGAACACGACCTACTATGCTTTCGCTGCGCCACTCTGATATCAAATCACAACTAATTATAAAAGCAAAACATTAACTACTTAACAGGGTTTACCATGAAAGAAACTACTAGAGGCTGGGGTGATATGGGAAAGCACAAGGAATAAAACTAAATCCTGTCAAGGCCACAAAGGACGGTTGTGGGGTTATGCTATGAACCCCAACACGATGATGAGTTAGCAAAGAATGGCATGGATTTAAAGACGAGTACAACAAAACTTTGAACTCTTATCAAAGACGGATAAGCATCCAATGGATATATGGATCATGAATGAATGAACGAGTGCATGGATGCCTTATAAATTCTGCCACAACAAGGTTAACCAATAAACAAGGTCATGTTTAACAAAACAACTGGAATCAAGAGACAGATTTTAGCAATTAGCAAGAGTTAAAAGCTAGACCCATCAAATGACATGTAAAATTTTCAGAATAACATCAGAATGAAATCAGTGGAAAATATGAATGCTTGAGAGAATACTGGAACATAAGAGTGCAAGGTAGAATGCCTCAAAAAATTTAGCAACAAAACGGCATTCACCAAGAATCAAGATCAAATTTAACCAAGCAGTCAAAATTAAGAGACAAGAGTTAACCATGAAACAAGCAATAGAATTCAAGGATTAGGCCCACAAAAGAGATTTCAATAATGACAACCAAAACACGGATTCAAGAGCAGATATAACCAAGATGTCAAGATCTAGCATCCCAAGTAACATGAATTAATTAACAGAATACTTAATAGTGGGGATCAGGATACTTAAAAGATTATTGTCTTCTAATTAAAAGGGCAAACAAAATCAAAGCAACCAGATAAAAGAACCATTTCTCTTGGAACAAAACTCTAGGGCATCAGGTACTTCAAAGACTACCCCTTCACCTCGTAGCCCATGGAGGCTAAGCAGATTTACAATCAAGTCATCCTAGACATCCTAGGGTCAAGTCAAAGCTAAGACATCAAGAATATAGAGATTAACACTTGCAAGAAACAAGAATTAGGATGCCTCATATAGGTATTTTCTAATAATCATCACCCCTCCTAAAAAGGTGTCCATATGAACAAAATCAAAATCAAGAAGATCAACAGGTATACTAAAACAAGAACTAGTAGAATATGCAAGATTTGAGCAAGAGCAAGGGTCAGGACAAGAATGGTTTTCAAGGACAATTCAACATAGATTCCAAAAACCAAATATCAATTGATTTTCAAGAAAAAGGATGCTAACATGACTTTACTCCAGGCAAGGTTCGAGATAAGATTCCAAGAACAGTGGAAGAATTAATTTCAGACAAGTATTAAGATAATGAGGATTTCAATAATCATTATCCATTTCCTTTGGATTTTAGTTTCAAGAACAAGTATAAAGCAATCTCAAGAAAGATTCAAGATGGATTTCAAGAGTTTCAAGCAGTTCCAGGTATCAAGAATGTAGAGATTAGCAACAATAAAAAGTTTAACTTTATGACAGCTTGCCAATCTTCACAAAAACAAAGCAAATTCAATTGAATGATCACTGCTTTTTGATTAACCAATATAGAAAAATGAGCCACATGAAAAGACCATGAAGCTCCAAATGGAAAAATGAAACTTCACTATAGGACTTTCAGAAAGATAATGAGCAGCAAAATTACCAAGTTATCCAGCTCCTAAAACGCATCTAGAAAACAAACAACATTTGCTAAAATAGCCTTGAATCTCTTACAAAGTAGAGGGTTTGCCCATCTTCCACTGGTCATGTGACAAACAGAACAAATTTCTCAACCAGCTATGCTGTAGAGACCAACAGGATCAATAACAAAAGATCTCTGCAAACTCCCCAGATTTTACAATTGTGGCAAAAGAGCATACAAAAATTCTATTCAAGTAACAAGTCTAACAAGTGTAGACTATCAGAAAATGACCAAGTTTCAAAACAAGGTCTTAAGAACATGGCAAACGAGATTAATTTCCTGAATCTACACAGGGTATGAAGGCAGGAAACAAGGACAATCAAATTACCATCTCATCAAAATGGATTAGAAAAATTTAGGCAACATGAATCAGAATTGTCTCTTATATAACCTCATCACTCGACTCACCACGGTTCTAAAATCCATTGGCTAGCCAAGTTCTAAACAAATCCTAAGTATTCAATTAAACCTAGATATTTAATTAAACTTAAACTCTTAATTTAAATCTAAGCTCTGATACCACTAAATCTGTCACGCCTCATAACCCAAATCCGAGGCATAACAAATGCCGTGCACTTATGAGAGGGTCCCACAAATGCACAAGGCTTGGAACTTATCATATCACAATCTGATATCACAAAATCTAAAGATAAAATTATAAAATTTCTCTGATATCATAAAATCTCCAATTAAAATCTAGTTTACAAGAGCATGGATTACATCTAAAATCTATGTTCAATTTACAAGATGGTTAGCCTTTTAACTCATCACTCCCCTCGTTTTTCCCCGTCCTTGACTTCGTTTCCTAAAATGGTGGACAAGGAGAGACTATGAGATAACTAAGTAAGTAAAATATGGAGTGCCCTTAATTAAACTTGTAGCATGCCAACAAGTGTAATCATGAAAAATGGATACAGTACGGGAACGAAATAGACGTCTCCTCTATTGGTTACGGCCAGTGTTATAAACCTCCCACTGGCATGCACACTATTTGCTAGTGTATAACCCCCACTAACAGGGTCACTCGAACGAACCGGTTCTATCAATAACATGTCGACATGTGCTAGCGTTTATAAACCTCCCACTAACGGGCACAATAATAACATGACCATATCAGAGACAAAACAGGTAGAAGTTAACAGAAAAATCATAATTCACCGATCACTTTCAAATCATCAAGACAATCAATTAAATTTCAAGTAGGCATGCTCAATTTAATGAAAACATAAAAATTTCACTTCAAATCAATCATACTTACTTTTGTATAAAACGGGTTTAGTCCCGCCACCACTTCAAAAACAAGTCAAAACATGTTTTTAAAAAACTATACAGGCATTACCATAAATTTACTTACCTTAAATCGGACAGAACGGAAGGCTTAACCCAAGTGCTAGGGTGGTAGAATAATAGAGAACCTAGCCAAAATATTCCAAAATTAATACTGTACTACCACAAATTCAAAGTGAAATCATCATTAAGACTATCCCTAATCACGATGCTATTTCTATCAGTCTCCACATGACCGGACATCTCTAAATCTGTTCTTATATTAAAAACTAAACACTTAAATCCCCGTTAATTGCTGGCCATTAGTGCGTGAACAGTAACTGCACTTCCATAAATGGGCAAAACAATGGCTAATTCACGGGATTTTCTCCAAAAATCACAGCAGCCAAAATAAACTAATTTTCTACATGAATTAAGCTAAATCATGGTCTAATTACTGTCAAAGTTCATCCCCATTTTTCAACAGAATTTTGGACATCACAGGGGCAGCCACTACATGGATAATTCAACAACTAATGGATGATTTTAGGCTCAAAGGGGGCTGTCACATACCATAAATCCAGCAAGCAAAACCGGAGCTGCGAGCTAGGGGAAGGCCGGCGGCAATTTGGGGAGAAATTCGGAATCAAAAATTTGAAGAATTTCACACCTACAAACAAGAGCA